TTAACACAAGTTCTATTGTGTTTTACTTGTACCCCCCCCCCCCCCTAATACATAGAAAATCTCGAAAACTGTAGGGGTACGAACTCACCTTGAGTGTGCTCGTGGTTGGATAAAAAGGTGATGGTGAAGATCTTCAAGCTTAGAACACTCAAAGATAGTTGTATCCTATGAGTTTTTAACACATAGTAATCTGTGTAAATTAGATAAACTATCAAGAAAGTGTTGTAAAACACTAGATAATTAAGGAAACTTACAATAATTCTTAAGAATTAACTTGAAGAATAGTTTCATGGGAATGTTTTGTTGATGTTTCCTGGGAGAAAATTCATGAAGTTTGAACTCGTTTTCTTGAAAGAAATGAAGAAGTTTTGAAGCTGCAAGTCAGGATTGTGAGGGATGTTCTTGGCCTTATATATATATATATTATATATATATATATATATATATCTTTATCTTTACTATATTATTAAGGATATTGCCCATTTCTTGAAAATTAAGAGGTACAACATATATTACAGCATGTACAATAGATTAAGCATTATACGTACTATACTACACGCTACACCGATTATATACTACACCCTAATACAAGGAATCCCTAAACACACTGCCATCTAACTTATTCACATCGACACCACCAAAGATGCCCATTTCCTAACTTCACACGGAAGGCGATGATGAACAGATCAATCAAACCTCTGATTTTTTAGATCTGTAACGGAGACTAATGCTACTCAGCATCTTCGATCCTCAACTAATGGCTATCAATGATCCCGAACACAGAGAGGAGGAAGAAGTCGCTGCTGCTGACGACGAAGACACCGCCGCCTTCGATTTTCACGCTAACAGACGCTCTCAGGTCTCAGCATCGTTGATCCTCAACTATAATGGCTATCAATGATCCCGTACATAAAGAGGAGCAGGAACTAGGGGGTCAACTGATGAGTAGCTAGACGATTCATAATGTTCCAGATCTTATTCATCATTTCAACTGGACAAAAATCCAGACTTGGTAAGCATAAAGACTTTTGTATTCATTCAAATGGTTTGTGTATTTCCTTTTGCCCACTTTTTGTTTGTTATTATTCTTATTGTTGTCTTTACGTTTTCTCTATTTCTATTCTCTTTTATTCTCTGCTTTTTCCTAATAAATTCTTTCAATCGTTAGCATCATCTTCAGTCGGCAACGCCACCAATGACCCACCCCTGGCGCATCCGATGCTCACAGTCGATCCTTCCTATTTCTGTTATTTCATCCATGAGGTAAAAACCATAAATTTTTGTTTGAAGTTTTAATGGCTTGTTTATTCAATTACGATTTCTGAATTTAGGGTATTTTTTCATGTTCCTGATTTGGGTGTTTTTTAGCTTCAAGAAGAAGAATAATCATGCTCATGGAGTACAACCTAGGGTAAACACCCCTATTACAAATTCTTTTTTATTAGAATTCTGTTCTGGTTTCAAGGACCAAAATTGGTTTCTAGGGTTCCGCTTTATCTACCATATTCAAGAGATATCAGTGAAACAAGAGGTATTTTTATTGTATTAGTTTTTAGTTTGATTTTTTTTGTTGCTTTTACATGGATATTATGTTTGAGTCTCAAGTTGGTGAGGATGACACAGTCCGACCTTGGGATAATCTTTTGGGTAAATCCCATGCATTGATATATTGCTTAAATCAAATGATGGGTAACTCTTCTTCTTTTTTATTGCAATTTGACTTGAAATATCTCCAATTGCTAGGAGTTTCATTTTGATATTTGTGCAGTGCAAAAGTTTTAATAATTTTCTATGAAAGGATCATGGGAGCGCCGAATTCTTTGATCCATTAAGGGGGCTATCAACAGAAACCTTGGAGCCAATTGAAAATACGGCAGTTGCAGAAAAACTTCCTGCTACCCAACCAACCTCTCATCTCTCTTCAAAGAAAGAGTGGACATCCTTTAATAAGCTACTAATGAAGAGATTTCATGTCCAAAAAATGATTTCAGTTTCTTCGGTAAGTCTTGTAAACATCATGATACACAGAAATCATAATCAAAACATATGAAAAGTTAAACAATTCTGTTAGTAGATTTTGCAAGGTATAACCTGGATCTTTTTCCACTAAAATTTTCAAGCAAAACCATAAAAGGCAGCAAGGGTATGGTGTATTACTAACATATCTCCGTTTCTACCACCCATACTCCTGGAAGTAACATTTTCTAAATTGTATCAGCAAGTGGAGAACTATCATCAAATATCCAGTCAGATGAATTGAATGATTCTCAAAAGTTGAAGGAATGAGAATTCAAGATTGTTAACCAGCAGGAGTACATTAAACGGATGCATGGACTTAAAGATGAGATCATGCGTTCTTGGCATTCTGATGATCGTGTAACAACCTTAAAGTTGTCAATTAAGGTATCTCCCTTTTTTCTTTATCAACAAAACTATATATAATTTTGTAATTTGGGAATCAAAATTTTGTTGGCTTGCAGGTTGCTAGGCTTCTGATGGACACATCTGTGGCACAATTTTATCCTACAATATTTGTTCTTGGTGCTGATATAATGGACATGCTTGGTGATATGGTATGGGATCGAATTAAACAGAAAGCCGAGTTTGCAGATGATGGAACCAAAATATGCTCTTTATCAAGTTTCTTATCTCATGTTCAGTTTCTGACCCACTAAAATTTATTTTTAGATAGAAATAATCATTTATACAATTATAATATCATTATAGATGACTTTGATGCAAATAGTATATGCTTTGAAGCCAAAAAGGAAGGATCAACAAAGGAGTACTGGAATTTTCATATTTGACATTGTTGATTTTGGTCAAGCCTGTGAAAACAAAGGTTAAAACATACATGTTAAGTCTCTAATGGTGAGTTACCTTTTAAGTTACTATGATTTAAATAATCTTTGGATATAAGATGACATATTTCAGTTGTTATTTGCTTTACAGTTGTTGATTTGGAGGTTTTAAGTAGGAATAGACTTTAATTTTTGAATGATTTGAGTAATTGCCCATCTGTCCTCCTCAACACATACTGCTATGTCAATTTTATGTTGCAAAAGAACTCAATTCCATGGCATCTCGACCATGAGGTTGTCATATATAAATTCCTTTTTGTTTATGGTGTTGTCATTTACTATTAAGAAGTCATTGTCATTTACTGTTAAGACAGTGCTCTATTTTTCTTTTCATAGGTCCAATGACAATAGTTTTTCCTGATATTTATGTTTTTTTAGGAAATTTTCATGACCCAGTTATGTGAACTGGCATCTGGATTTATGAGAATCTTTTTTGATTGTAAATGAATGAGTCTTTTTTCTATTATTACTAGATTGATTTTGGATGGTAACTATTTATTAAATATTAATTTGTCTTTTTTTTTTCTTAAAAGTTTGTGAAAAGAAAAAGCCTTGTTCTGCGTAGAACCATATATGATTTTTTAAGTCAAAGAGAACTAGAATGTTAAAGTTTAATGTTTCATTTTTTTTCAGGTTGTAGCTATGGTGTTACAGATAACAAACCCTTTCAAATGTGCTATAGGTAAGGAGATGAGTTTGAGTTTGTCTTTTAATTGCTCGCTAATATTGAATTTTTTAAAAGGTTTTGTAATTTCAAGTTTTAGATGTGAAAGGTTTAATGTAACAAACCTTTCACCATTTTTTTTCATTTCAGTGGACTTTTATGGCCTTACAACCTTAAGTTACCTGAATTCATAAAGCTTCTTCTATCCTCTCATGTTTACCATCATTTATGAATTTCCATAAAAGTTCTTGTGTAATTTCTTAATTTTTAACCTTATTGATATTATTTTTACTATGTTGAATGTTTTGGTTACATTGAACCATTTACATCTAAAGCTTGAAATTAGTAAGCCTATTATAACACACAAATAAGTGAGGATGATGTTTTAATGAACAAATAGGTAAAGGTACATTTGCTATCATGATTGTTGATTTCTTTGTTACTAGACAGTCAAAACAGTTAATATCTTTGAATTTCAGTCCAAACTAATTTGGGTTTTGGTTAAAACATTAGCTTTAGTTGATGTTAAGATGTGCAATGCATTATCTGCACAAGGTCAGTCAAAGTTAGCTACATACAATACTTTAGAAAATTCGAATTAATTTTGAAGTTTTAAGTTGTTTTTATCTTTTTTCTTTGACTTTTTATCTTTGACTGTATTGAGGTACAATGCTTTTATCTGCACATGGTGAGTCAAAGTTAGGCTATAAATACAAACTCAGAGAAGTTGAATGACGAGATGGGTTGTGAAATAAGAGTGAGGGGGTGTTATCCATTGAAGAAGAAAAAGAGGTTTAACAATAATTAATGAGAAATATGAAAAATGCCATTTTGTCGATTTGTGTTTGTATGTTTCTGTAAGTGTATGTATTTCACAATTAAGATTTTGGCATTAAAAATTTCATTTTCTCAATTACATGTAGTTACACACTTATAGCATTGTTTATATTTAGTATTACGTTAATAAAGAATATGAAAAATAACATTTATTGTTTAGAAAATAACATTCAAACGTTATTGTTCTTTTCCTATCGGTTCCAAGATTGTTAAAATAAATGTAACGTTTCGTAACATTAATAAAACTTAAATGTTTATTTATATTAAATACAACTATAACTTAAGTCATATATATTTTTTATACATACGTCTTTGTGCCTTCAAAAATTATTCATTGATATAAAGAAAACCCATGCGATAATTGAAAATGTTTTATAATATTGTTATTAAGCAAAAATAAAATAAAAATATTATGTAATGAACTATTCAAACAAAAACACTAATCGTATCTACAAACTAATTTCTGAAAAAAATAATCATACCCGTCGCTTAGCACGGGTAAACGGCTAGTATATATATATATATATATATATATATATATATATATATATATATATATATAAGAAGGGGGTATGGGTAGGGTGGGGTGATGTGATGTTTGCATTGGTTTGAGTAATTTATCTCATTGGGAAAAGATCCAACAATCATGTTGCAGCACCACCTAAGTCACTTGGTGATTTCCTTCCAATCCCCCAATTGAAAACCCATTAATCCACCGAAATCACATGGTGATTTCGGTCCAAGTACCACCGTAATCTCATGGTGATTTCGGTCCAGTACCACCGAAATCACATGTTTTCGGTCACGTACCACCGAAGTCTCAATAACTTCGGTCCTGGACCAACGAAGTCTCAAGGTTTTTTGGTCCTAAACCGGGAACCTTAAAAGCAAGGTATAAAAATTTTGATTTATGTCCTAAACCATTTACTTTTATTGACTTGTTTGACTTTTATTGACCCAGAATAGCCGGTTGTCACATTAGTCCACTTTTCCATTATGCTCCAGTAAAGCTAGTGGTAGTATTTAGGATCATGTTTATTTCACATGCATGCATTTTTCCTTAGTAGATTGTTTACATAGTTTTCTTATAAATTGTAATTGTTGCTTGATAAATAGAAGATAGAAAAATTGTTCCAAAATAGTCTCGTTTTCTTATTCATGTAACAGCCCGGAATTTACAGGTATTTATTTTGGATTTATTTATGAAAATTGTGAGTGGACTCGGCGAGTTGGAGCTCAAACTCGCCGAGTAGGATCGCGGATTTGGGCACGGGTTCGCGTCCGGACTCGACGAGTCCAAGGGTGGACTCGGCGAGTCCACGCTGTGTTGTGAAACCCTAAATTCCAGGGTTTGAGACCTATTTAAAGGGCCTTATGGCCGTCACTTGTGCTCATCCAACCCTTAGAGAGAAACCCTTGAGTGCTTGAACGTTTTGAGAGAGAAAGGAAGCATTTCTTGACCTTGTGTGTGACATTTAGCAAGAAGGAGGAGATTCTAGGTAAGAGGAAGCAAAGGAGGTTGCTATTCTATGGATTTGAAGCTTAGATCATCAATCTAGAGGTATGATTTCGGCTTACTTTCTGTTTTGTGAAGTATAATGGGATTTAGGGTTTCTTATGGACATTTTTGGGTTGATTTGATGCCAAATAGTTCCCTTCTTGTGTTGAGGCTCTGGATCTAGATCCATAGAGGTCCAGAGAGCCTCACTCACCAAGCTTTATGTATAGCAATGGAGTTTATGACCTTGAGTTGTAATATTTGAGACAAAAACATCATATATGGTCATATAGAGATTGTATGTGCATCAAGATAGTGACTTTACGTGCTAAATAAGCTTGGAAGGACTGGATCTATGGGTTAATGGACTGGATCTGACCTTATGAACAAGTTTGAGTCATTGCATGGCACGGACTCGCCGAGTCCGAAGAACAGACTCGGCGAGTAGTATGAATATTGCCCGACCACACAGCAAGTGGTCTTACCGAGTTAGGGAGGGTTGACTCAGTGAGTCAGGAGGGAAGTCAGAGTGGACAGGTGGACTGAGTCAAGCTGGACTCGCCGAGTTGTTCTTGAGACTCGGCGAGTTGAGTCGTGGTGGCCCCACAACTCATGCCAGGTGGAACTCGTCGAGTTAGGAGAATACTCGACGTGTCAAGGGAGGATTTCAGGGAAGTCATTGTATACGCTCAGACTCACCGAGTCGCTATAGTGCACTCGCCGAGTCTGGTTAAAGTTGATCGTTGACCGTTGACCAGCATTGACCTAAGTTGACTTGTTAAAGAGTAGTCAATATTAGTTGGGAAAGTGTTAATTAGAGATGTATTGTGATTTAGGAGGACTATAGCTCGGGAGATCAAGCACTAGTGATTTCAGGATTCACGACTTACCGAGACACGCAAGGTGAGTCTTCTCACTATACTTTACCTTGAGTAGGTAACCAGAGTTATGTGATAGAGTATTTGTATGCTATGTATGTTATGTGTTGTACTGCATTATTTCTATGTGATTTATGTTGTGCATGTTTACAGAGTTAGAACCTGAGGGTTCACAGAGTTTGGGTGCACGGACCCACAGAGTTATAGCCTCGAGTGGCTATTATGTGTTATATGTGGTATTTTGGGGAACTCACTAAGCTTTGTGGTTACAGTGTTTGATGTTATTGTTTCAGGTACTAGTGACGACCGCGGGAAGGCGCCGGCTTGATCCGTACACACGCACGGAGTTTATACATTTGTGATCTTGGGATTTTGTATTTACTTGAATTGGATAATTAAATATGGTTGTTTTATGAATATTAAATGAATTATGTTTTATAAAAATTTGAAAATTTTGTTTTGAAATTTACGGTGTTACAATTTGGTATCAGAGCCTTGGTTTGAGGGATTCGGGTACACCTTCGGGAGTATTTGAACTCAAACTGAGGATTTGGAAAAATATTTTCAAAAGAGAATTAAACTTTTCTAAGAGTAAAAGATTTTTAGTGAAATTTAAGGAAGAAACGTGTGTACGATCAGTCAGCGCCCGAACGATGATTTCCCAAAATACCCTTATATTATATGTTTATGATGTATTCTCTTGCTAGAGTAGGCTAGATATTCTTATTAGGACTAGAGTGCCCTGATTTGTGATGCCTTAGCCTAGGGAGATGTGAGCTGCTATGAGATGCTTGAGAGTGAATAGGTAGCAGCGAGGAGCTTATGAGAGATCTGT